TTTTTTTTTTTTTAAAGAAAAAAAAATAAAGAAACAATTCCACATTCCACCTGGATTTTAAAAAATACAGAACAACGATCACAAAAGATAACAACCCTAAAAAAACCCCATTCATTCTTCCATCAGTTGTCGGTCCTTGTGTCCCGGTTAGAGGAACCCCCTGGTGTGATGAGCGATGAACAGCGCAAAAAATACGTCCTTAATCTTTTGTGTAGACTTTTCTACTGGCAGATCGCATGTGACATTTACGACCGACCGTGACCAGAAGATTTATCTCTGAAGGTTGTGAGAAGGTGTTATGGTCGGCAGGCTGCTTCCGTGTTCAACAATTTTAAAATTGTTGTGTTTTTTGACCCGACGACGACAACGACGACTACAACGACAACCCTGCCTGCACATATGACCGTATACAGTCGCTTGTGTTGTTCAACTCTTACCAAAGCAAGCAAAACGACAACAGCAACGACGATGACGACGACAACAACAACAACAACAACAACAACAATAACAATAACAACAACAACATTCCGCCTGCTTTGAAAACTATGGAAACCATATCCAGTTTATAAAACAACAACAACAACAACAACAGTTCGCCTGCTTGGAAAACAATGGAAACAATATCTAGTTTATAAAACAACAATTACAACAACAATGACAACGATAACAACAACAGCAATAATAATAATAATACTATGAACAACAATAACAACAGCAGCAACATCATCATCAACCACAACAACAACAACAACAACAACCTCAGCAGCAACATCATCATCAACAACAACAACAACAACAACAACATCAACAACAACAACAACAACTCACGTTCGTGGCCGTTGCAGCTCGCGCCTGCACTTGTCCAGCTGTCGTGGCGGCGTTTGTGACGTCAGTCTCCGTGGTCGTGTAGAAGTTGGACAGGGTGCTGATGTTGGCACTGAGCTCCTGGGCTGTCGCAGTGATAGCCCTCACGTGCTCCTGTGTGCTGTTGATGTGGGTTCCGGCCTGACAATTGTTGTACAGAGAAAGCGTTTTGGTTATAGTAAATGTATTATGAATGTAGTAAATCAGTGGTAGTTGTGATGATGGTGATAATAATAATGATGATGATGATGATAATAATAATAATAATAATAATAATAATAATAATAATAATAATAATAATAATAATAAAAAGCATTAGCATTTCCATTTTCTCAGATAAACTTAATATGCATTACATTAACACTATGATTGGTGTTAAAATGCACAAGAAACTGTTATTATTACGAGAGATTATGGAGAAGCCTGTCAGACAGCTCAGTTTATACAATAGGAGTTTAGTTTTAGTAGAGGTTTTACGGCGCTCGCAACTGCATAAGGTCATATGAGTGCCAGAAGATTATATGTGTTAAATGAGAGTAACAAACATAAAAAAGGAGGGGAGATAAGGACGATAGATGTTTGATAGGAAAGAAGGAGCAATCCACACCAGAGCACCCGCCAACCACCCACGTACAATAGGAGTCCAAATGAAATAATGTAAGGAAAAATCAATACATCAAGTACTGTTGTTCCAGTCTCTGTATTGAGATTTACAAAACAGGACTTCCAATGTAACGTCCGTTTCCGATACAGCTGTACCGTGTGGATGAGAAACCACAAAAAAGGGCTACACTATAACATACATACTCTCTCTCCGTTTAAAACAGCTCTTCGTCGTTATCAAAAAATGTGTCTCATAAAGATAAAATAAAACGTGAAAAGAAGATACAATAAAGAAAGAAGAAGAGAAGACAAGGGAAGTAAGCAAACATATTACAGTATTAAGATCGTGCAATACAATAAATGTAGTTGTAAAGCGCGTAGAGCATTCTGATCAACCATCTCCGTGCACACCCCACAACTCCAGTGATAGGAAGTCGAGGTCATCTTCACTAGAAAAGGATGAGTATCAGATCATTTTGAGAACTGCAAAGCGTGGAAATGAACGATGTACATTAATTAAATGCAATCATTATCACTGTTGATATGATAAAATCCAAAATACCTCTTCCAAGACATTTCTAGCTGTGGTGTTGATGCTATCGCTTGCATTCTTCAGACCGGTCACCTGGACCCTGAGGTCACGTGATGTCTGGACGTCTTCTTGCATCAGATCGACCTCCTCCTTCAGCTGTTTGGACACTTGCCTGAACAAATGATAGCAGATAACAGTAATACTAGTAATTAACATAACAATAATAGTAACAAAGATGATGATGATAATAATAATATAATAATAATAATAATGATGATGATAATAATAATAATAATAGTAATAATAATACTAAATAATAATTTTTGTGCCGCAGTTCCCATCCAGGCAGCAGGCGCTATGTCTATTGTTGTCATGTACAACTGATGTACAATCTATTGTTGCTATGTACAACTGATGTACAATCTATTGTTGTCATGTACAACTGATGTACAATCTATTGTTGCCATGGACAACTGATGTACAATCTATTGTTGCCATGTACAACTGATGTACAATCTATTGTTGCTATGGACAGTTGTACAATCTATTGTTGCCCTGGACAGTTGTACAATCTATTGTTGCCCTGGACAGTTGTACAATCTATTGTTGCTATGGACAGTTGTACAATCTATTGTTGCCCTGGACAGTTGTACAATCTA